ACTGTACCGGTATCAGGTACAATTTATATGATACCGGTATAATACCAGACACCACATTGTCTGATACTTATATAATCATAAGATATGAGTAATACCATCCATTGAAGAGCAAGACATGAACAATTGTTGCGGTAAGTGTAGCAAAACCAAGACCATAAGACATAGCAAAGAAAGCACTCATATACAATGGGCCTTCTTTTGTATACGCAACTTTATCGAGTTGAAAGTTGGAATTAATTATTGCAGTCGTGTTGTAACGTGAACCATCACCTTTAAAAAGTTCGGTGGAGTAAAATGGAAAGGTTTTGGCTCGATAAATATTCGACCAATAAACAATTGGTGTGACCACAAACATCATAAGACAAAACCCTACGGTGACATTTGCAGTTGCGAACCATGGGCTGGCTAGTGGGCTACCAAGGTATGATGCAATTGTGGACCAATCGAGCCCGAATGAACCGATTCCTAAACCATTTTGGCCTGACCCGAGTTGGTTGACTAGAATGGATTTTTTGTTGATCCAACATATCCATGAAACTGATGTTAAGATTTGGAGAAAGTATCCTGGGAAAATGTAGTAAGAGAAGCTGCAGATTAAGACGATCATGAAGAATTGATTTAGTGTGGTGCCACCCTTTGGTCTCTTTTCTTGCTCCTGCAATGATCTGCATGCATAGTATACAATTTTTAATATTTGAAATCTCCATGACCATAGGGTTAAACACAAGAAGATTGTATTATTGTGGGAAAATTTCATAAAAACCCGTAGAATTTATAGGGTTTAACCACTCAATGAATTTATTTTTATGATTTAACCATTGAAACTTTGATTTTTTTTTCCTTGAAAAACCATTTTTAACAAAAAAAATGTTCCAATTGGTGTTTGGAACTCGTTACCGAAAAAAGAACTTACAATGGTTTTTATAGAAAATAAAACAAACTTTCAATGGTTAAATTAGAGAAAAAAAAAATTATGTGGATAGGGAGAAAAAAAAAATATAAAGGTTTTTATGAATTTTTCCCTAATTATAACGATATACTTTTAACACAAAGCAATTTTTAATACTATATAAAAGATAAATTTTCCATAGTTAGTATTTTAAAAAATCTCTGCAATTATGACAATGAAATTAATATTCAAAATATAATATATTTATAAACAATTTTCATTTCTATAATAAGATGAAATTTTAAATAATTATATTTTGAAATATCTCAGCTATTATAACAATCTCATTCACACAATCTCATTTCAATATAAAATAACTTTTATTATTATTATAATAAGATAAATAATTCTAGAAATATATTCTCTTTTGTCACTTGTCACATTCTCATTTAATTTTGCCAAATTTCATTTTATGGTTATTTTGAATTAATTTTTTTTTCCACATGTCATTTTATGATTTTTTCTATTTTATTAAATTCAATATAATATATAAATGTAATAATTACAATAAATGTAGTAATATATAAATTGATATCAATTTCATTAATGAAATTACATTTTAATCTTAAAATTCCTAAAATTAAAGCTCATTAGTTTTTTTATTTATTTGAATTATTTGTTTAAATTCAAAAAATAAAAAACATTTCGATAATAATAATTTATTATTTTTCTTATATTTTTTATAAATTCAAAGTTATTAAATATTTTGATCTTTATATTTAATTTTTTTATTTGAATTAACTCATGTAATATATGAGTTTCACAAGTAGTAATATAATATGATATTATAGTTAACCATATTTTTCAAACTAAAATTACATTAAAAGAATTAATATAACAATCTATTTGATTTTATAAAGATTATAAGGAATTAATATAAAAATATATTTTGATTTTATAAAGACTATTAAAGAAATAAATCAGGGCCCAATAAATTATCTTGTATATACCTAAAAATGGAGACCTGAACCAGGTTCGACGGCCACCACATCTCACCGGGCTCCACTAGAAACCGCCGGAAAAGTCCAGCCCAGCCAAATCCCAGAACCTAAAAGATTTACAAAAGTTAACAGATCAAACAGATAAAATTAAATAACACCAAGAACCCAAAATCCTCTATAATCACCTGTGTAGTAAGCATGACGATGAATGCAGGAAGAAAAGCCAATTGCTTCTTGTAAAAAAGCTTCACAGCACTCAAAATATGAGTCGCATAAACACTTCCAGCACCAGAATTCGCAAAGATCGTAATCAGTACATGTTCTTTGATATTAAAAGGCCCAGGGTTCATTGTGAACTCGCACCATTGACCTTTGAAGAACACCCTTGTGGTAATCGTTCGAGCCATCAAGTGGCCAAGCGGCACCGTCGCCACCTGCGCTGCTATCGAGCTTATCGATAATGGCTCAGTTCTATACCAGTAAAACTGGTTAACGAACGATAGAATCACACATGAAGTTATACCCAAAACCCACATTCTGAAAGTGAGTACAGGCATGGTGGGATCGTCGGTTTTCGGGACTGTTAATTCGACTTCTTTGATGAGGCATTCGTCGTCGTCGGAGGGGGCGGCGCCGCCGGCGACGGCGAGATGTCCCCTGACTAGATCGGGGTTTATTCCGGCCATGACAAGAGAAGAAGGGAGGAGCGTTGTGGGGTTTTGAGAGTCCGCGATCTTGGCCTTCTTATAATGAAGATCCGGTGGAATCCAGAATCGTAACGGATGTTTGAAACAGGATAAGCTAAAGCTATCAGCCGAAATTAGAGCTTGATAAGGATCCTAATTCCATATTATTGGGGAAAAGTACATATTTCGTCCTCTTGTTATTCATTGGTTTTGTAAAATGACACTTTTGTTTGGCTTTTTACCTAAAATTGATTGTTCTGGGAACTTCTGGTTACAAAGAGTTAAAGCTTGAGAAAATTGATTGTTTGGGCATTTTACCTAAAACTGATTGTTCTTTGTTGAATAAAGTCATGTGCATAACATTTAACCTTGAGAAAATTACAAAAAATGGTTCTTATAGTTGTTGTTTTACAAAAAAAATGGTCCTTGTCATTTTTGGTTTTGGTCCAAAGATATTTGGACATGTATAAATAGTCTAAAATGTTTTTTTAATGGTGTGTGTCCATATCAAAATTGAAAAAACTATATTTTTCTTTCTAATTTATTTTTTTAGTTTTTTATATTTACTTTATTATTTCAATAAATAATAGAAAAGGGGTCCACAAAACTCATCCCTTCCCACCCACCATCCTCTCTCTTTCCTTGTTGGGTGCAGCTTCTTCACATCCTCCCTTCACTGCTACATGCATTTTTTTGGAGTGATGTTACGTGCGTCTCTCCATACTTATTTATTGCCTTAAACCCACCATCAAACAAAAGCTCTAATTTGAATAATGGACTTCACCATATCTTGCCCAACAACAACCTGCATTTCTCCAACATCAGTGACACCATCATCACCTTCGGAAACCAACACCATCACCTCTGCTATTGTCTGCAACCTAATGAAAACACCTTACTGGAGACTCTCTGCACCGTCTTGAATCTTATATGACCCACTTATTTCACAAAACACACATTGTCGACGACTCTCCCTTTCTCCACCATATGCAACCTACGCCTTCCTTCATCGTCTCTAATATTTAATGATAGAACTTTTACAGATCTTTACATCTTTACTGTGAGGTTTTTACAATCGATCTATAATTGGAAAGGGTAGTCGTAGTATAAATAAAAGGAGATTTGGGAATTTACAATCGATCTTTGTAGTAAGGTTTTTACAATCGACCTTCTAAGTCTTTCTTTCCCTCTTTCTTGTCGCCACCTTATGCAGTCATCGACCCAAGTTACCAAATTTCATCAAGTTTAATTTCCATGTTTAATTTTGATTCTGGTTTGATTTCGCGATTTGTACATGGACATAAATGACTATTTTAGGTTTGATTTTGATGTTTTTGATTTCAAATTCAATTATAAGTGTTTTAATGTGACTTGAATATTTGGAGCATTTGAGTTCAATGGAACACTTGGAGTTCATGGAGCATGTGACAAAGGAACGGATCGTTTGACAAATGATTTATGCCTTACAAACATATTGGTTCGGGTCGAGTTGAAACACTAAACAAGTACATTTTTGTGTCGTGTCGTATCAATTTGTTTACTTAAACATATTGTAACCTCTTACACAAATTCGTTTATATCGAATAGAGTTTCAAATCGTATAAGATTTTGCCTAGTTTATTCTAATATTCGACTCCTATAAAATAATATTCGCTAGAAAAAGATTAAAACATATCATTATAAACTTGAAAAATAACTAAAGCTAATGTGCAAGTGGATTAAATTTGTTTCTTTGAAAAACTCATGTGGTTGTGCACGTGCTAGGATAAAAAACTATTAATGACCTGTGGCTACTACGCTATGGACTAAAATAGAATAAAATAGTCAGTTTTGAGTAAGAATAGCTCTAAGAAAAAGTTTAGTGTACCAGATTTGCAAGTTGGGAATAGTTTATGGACTAAATCTGTGAGTTTTAATATTGGGAAGGGAGTATCCTCGTAAGAAAATCTAAGTGTAGAGGTGGTCCTACAAGATTCCAAGTCAACCAAAACTTTATTATTCCAGCCTGGCGTTGAAATTATAGTCTTTTAACTTTTTATACGGAATTAAAGATAAAAGACTAAATTAAATAAATGTCTCGTGGTTTAAATTTTGGGTTAATACCTTAAAAATATTATTCATACAACTTTGTTTTGATTTAACCCCAACGCTTCTTTTGTTATTTATTTGTCACCGTTAAAAAGATGACATTCTATTTATTAAATCTTACCCGGTTACCAACCGGTAATTAAGTCATTGTCGGTTGCCTCTTTTCACTCGAGTATTAATTCTTGGGAACGTGCATAGTAGTCACCACCTTTATCAAAACGACTGACTAACAAAAGGTTATCTAGATACGATCATCGTCAAAAGAGGGTTTTGGAAGAGGGTTTTTGAAGGTTTTCAAGGGTTTGAAACACCATTGTAGAAGTGAAGGCAAGTTTGATGGCAGAATCATCACGGAGAAGGAAGAGTAAAGAAACAAAGACGATAAAGAAGACAAAGTTGAGATACGTACGTGATGAAGAGTCTGATGATGATCTTCTTGACTTAGGATTCTTGGATGTTGAACAAGATAACTTCAATCCTACATCTAACTTGTGTGACGACCCTTTTCTTAACATTTTATGTGATAATAAAATAATCAATTTGAAGGGGACGATGAAGCTGATGTTGAAGATATCCACCAGGTAGAGCATGAGCATGAACACCTTGAAGATGAAAATGACTTGTAAGTGGGTGTCAAGTTCAGGGTGCACGGTCATACCGTCAAGTGGAACCAAATGAAGCCTACAGTTGGTGAGTTATACGAGTCTCCTGCTCAGTTAAGGTTTGCACTAACTAACTACGCTGTAGCTAATGGATACCAACTTTGGTTCGTGAAAAGAGATAAAAGCAGGGTAATTGTTATGTGTGGGAAAAAATTGCAAAAAAAAAACATGTCCTTTTAGGATCCATGCTTCATGGAAGTACAACGAACGTACTTTTCAAATAAAATCTATGGTTGAAACACATCTTTGTGCAAGGAATTATAATTTTGGACATTTGGTTATTTATAATTGGTTAGCAAAACACTACATTAAGGATATAATTAGGAAGCCCAATATGACATTGTCTGAGATGATGGAGGATGTCCTTACAAAATACTCTGTGAAAGTGTCAAAGGGGCAATGTCATAGAGCAAGGGTAAGGGCAAGGGAAATGATAGAAGGTAAAGTAGAGGAACATTATGCTAAGGTATGGGATTATACCAATGAAATCCTTAGATCTAACCCTGGAAGCACATGCAAAGTAGGAGTGTCAGTAAATCCAGATGGAATGAATTATTTTCAATGTTTTCATGTATGTTTGAAGGCATTGAAAGATGGCTGGAATAGAGGGTGCATACGTGTGATTGGGTTAGATGGATGTTTCCTAAAGGGACAAATCAAATGGGAGATTTTGACTGCTATTGGAAGAGATGCTAACAATCACGTGTAACCAGTTGCATGGGTTGTAGTAAATATAGAGAACAAAGAAAATTAGACTTGGTTTTTACATCTTTTGGTTGATGACTTGGGTGTTGAGGGTGGAAGGGGTCTAGTTGTCATTTCAGATCAACACAAGGTAAACATAAATACTATACAAATTTTTTCATGTATTCATTTATATTGTCTAACCAATATTAATGTTTATCTACTTGTTTCAGGGGCTTCTAGAATCTGTGAAAGCTATCCTTCCACATGTTGAACATAGGCAGTGTGCGCGACACATTTATGCCAACTTTAGGAAGAGGCATACAGGTTTAGAGTTGAAGAACTTGTTCTGGGCTGCTGCAACTAGTTCACATGAAGGGGATTTTGTGGCTAACATGGAAAAAATTAAGAAAATAACCCCAAATGGATATGCTTGGTTGATGTCTAACAATCCACAATCATGGTGTAGGGCATTTTTTGCATAAGGGTATGTGTCACACCCCGAAACCGTGATGGCGGAAACGTTCCGGGGTGGAGGACGTCGTGCGTAGTATCACAACATTTGTATAGCAAGCATAGTAAACACAACCAAACATTGAATACAAATATGAAAACTGTTTACATCATTTTGAACCTTGTTTTAAATACATCAAAAGTATGTGTAATATAGAAAACATGGCTCTTATTGCTCCGGCTTCACCACATTCCTGGAAATACCTGTCTACTAATTCCCTGAGAATACAAACAGTTTGAAAAATATCAGCATAAAGCTGGTGAGTTCATAAGCATTTAGTTTTGGTGGAAAATGTTCTTTTATTTGATTCTTTTGAAAAGTGTTCCTCAAGAAAATCCTATATTTTCTTATGAAAGGTAGTATTGAAAAAGTATCTATTAGTAGAAGATAAACCATCAGTTTTAGAGAACATGTTGTCCGCCCTAGAGGTAGAGATGCCAGTTTAGAAATCCCTTAATACTATCAGTATATATAAAAGTAGTTTTATTACTCAAAATAAAACTAACGAAGGGTAGAGTCCGTAAACAAAATTAGTTTATACTTATTTGCGAGTCGTATAACCATACTTGATATGACCGAGAGACCTTTATAACGTTCTTCAGGCGTTAAGCTAAATGACATTTGTTCACCCCAGGCGTGCCCGCCTAACTGTAGCTAGCAGTTCAGGTGTGGGATTGTCAGTCCCGAATAGATCTATTCACAAATCTCACGCTCTCCCTCCAGGAGACTCTGGTTATACTGGGATAGGATTTATCACTATACACCTAAGGGTACAGTATTGAAGTAGAGCCTCACAATTCTGTATAATCTAGTTTACTAGCGAGAAACAGTATAAAAACATTGATTATCCTTGAATAATAGTACTTTATACTCCTGAGAAAATATATAACATAAACTAGATCTGTCATAGTTTATATATATTCATTTATGAAATCTAATTAAGTAGAGACTGCCTAGAGGGTTATCCCAAACTATACCCATTATAGTTTATTAGAGTTGCTTTGTAAAAAAAAACCTTTCTGAAAGCTGTGAAGTTGGATTTTCAAAATAGAAGTTTCCCTTATGCTCAACATATTACAAAAAGAGATAAAATATCCGAATATGTTATTAAACGTGGAAATCGTTGAACTGCATTAATAAGTTTAAAACTTAATAAAATTCTTTGAGTTTGGCTTGTATCCCCCCCCCCCCCTGAAAACATTAAAAACACGAAAAATGTAGAGGTATGAACTCACCTTGAGCGAGTGGTTTGATTGAAGGATCGATACGGAAAGCTGGGTGTTCAAGTGAAGCCTTGAACACGATTCGATCCTAAATAACACGCCAAGACACATAAACGAGTCAAATGAAGGTATTTCACCACTATAAGTGATGGAAAACCACTCTAGAGACTTGGATCTACTAGCACTAAGTGTTTGGACCTTGTAGGGTTGCATGAGGAGAGTGTATGGCCACCTTAAAGGTGTGTATGGCCATGGGTGTGTGGTTAGCATGTGTGTGCGGTTGCACACAGGAGTGTGCGGCCGTACAGAGGGCGTGTGCGGCCGTACAAGGGAGTGTGCGGCCGTACATAGAGGTATGCGGCCGTGCACTCTTCATTCATACTAAAAATGTCGATTTTCAGGTGTTTCCAAGCCAATACTAAGTCCAACTAGTAAATGGAGGCCAAACTCTCACTTTGGAGAGTCTTGAAGGTGTGTACGGCCACCTTATGAAGGTGTGCGGCCGTACACCTTCATATGATGAAGAACATGACGAAACTTTGATGATTAAAGGCTTAGATCAATGGGTCCTTCATGAATGATAAGCTAGGTGATGGAAAACTCATGTTTTTGAGGCCTTGAGAGTGTTCTTGGATGCAGTTCTTAGAGAGAGAAAGTAGAGTGCAGCCAAGTGAAAGGAATGAGTGAAGGGGTCACCCTATATAAATAGGGATGAGTGTGCGGCTGGAGGATGGGTGTGCAGTCGTACACTCATGTGTGCGACCGTACACTCATGTGTGCGGCCGTACACTCATGTGTGCGGTCGTACACACCTTCCAAGAGGGTGTATGTCCTGGTTTTCTCACCATGGGACGTGCTGACTCATTCCTAAACTCAACCTTGGTCAAATGCAAGCTTAGAACACTTAAATGAACCCTTGAATGGCACCAGAAATCGACAAAACAAGTTGAATATTGATTGAATCGACTAAGTGTACAGGATTGAAGTTCCGGGTTGTTACAATATGCATGTGAGGCAATGGAAAATGGCATTTCTGAGTCCTTCAACTCCATGATGATAAATATTAGGAAAAAAACCACTTCTAACAATGTTAGAGGAAATCAGAATCTATGTCATGGCTAGGTTTTATTATTTGGCTGATAAAGCTTCTACATGTACAACTGAATTTTGTCCAGCTATCATAGAGAAAAAGAAGGATTTTAGAAAAGAGATGAGGTAAATACTTACCATTAAGTTGTTACTACTTACCATTAATTTGTGCTTTATACTTAACATGAAATTGTTATTTTTAATTTTTATTTATAGGAGCTGGAAAGTGATAACTACTGGAGGGTCTGTATTTGAGACAAGGTATGGGTATGCAACTTACAAAGTGGATTTGGAACAACATTTTTGCACATGTAGACTATAGGAGATATCTGGAATACCATGTGTGCATGGTCAAGCAGCAATAAACTACACTCACATGAATCCAACTGATTTTTTAAGAATTTGGTTCCAAAAAGAGAAATTTATGACTGCATATACCACAAATATATCACCAGTGAATGGAAGCAACATGTGGGCACCCACTGACTATATAAAGCCATTACCTCCATTGACAAGGAGAATGCATGGTAGGCCAAAAACCAAGAGAATAAGGCATGTATATGAGTTCAATGATTCCAAGTTCCCAACTGTTAGAGCTAGAGTTTGTAGGACTGTTAGGTGTAGCAAATGTGTACAATTCGGACATAACTTGAAATCCTATAAAAATGAGCAAGTGATGAGGGACTATGTGTCACCTAAAAAAAAGCAGGAAGGAAGAACATAGGAAGAAAATATTGGTGTTAATGCACATGAAACTGTACAGGAAACTATATAGGAAACTGTAGATGATGCAACTGGAGATGATGTTCAAGCAAGTGAAAATGAAACTGTAGATGCTGCTATTGAGGAAACTGTACAAGAGAATGTTCATTATCAGGAAACCTTAGATGAAATGTTTCAGGAGCCCCCCCCCTGAAAATGCAGTCGAACCTCCAATCATTGTTTACAATGATGATGTATTGATGCTGCAGTAATGTGGTTATGAACCTCATAAGATTGAACAGGCGTTGGAAAGGATAAATGTGATGCCTGACCATGTGTCACCAGTGGAAATGGTATGCCAAACTCTATTTTTAATTTCTTATAAATGCCTTATTTGTGTTTTAATTCTTAAATTCATCATATGATACAGGATGTAAATGTTAATGAGATTGAATATCACTTGGAAGCAGACTCAGAAGAGGATGTTAATGAGATTGAAGATAACTTGGAAATGGTATGCCAACCTTTGCTTTAAATTTCTTATAATTAATATGTGATTTAAAAAGGGTAATTAACTACATCATGTTTTATTGGGTGTAGATGTTAATGACATTGAAGATCACTTGGAAGCAGAAGGGAGGGTCATACCTGACCTTGTGCCACCAGTGCAAGGGGAAGTTGCTATACAAGATTTATATGCTAATGTTGGGTTAGTGAAGATGATGAGGAAACTAAGAATGACTTCATTGAAGATACACAAGTTGTTGGGAGGCCTAGGAAAAGGAAGATTTTTTAGAGAATTATGAAGATCAAGCTGAAGAAAGCAGTTTATGATAAGGACGGAAGGGGTTCTAGTATTGAGAAACCAGTTAATTTGGAGTAGGAATATTTAGGAGGGGGTATCATGGGCACTATGTATTTTTCTTGCCCTTTTTGTTAACATTGCATCAGCTTTTGGTAACAACCATCCAATTGTATATCAGCATCTAGCAGTATTCAGTTAGGCCTTTCTGAACATTGGTAGTTAATGGCAATTTGAAAGATTGTTGGGCAATTGGATGTTTGGTTCTGATTGTAATACCCCCTTTTATGTTATTAAGAATGCAAGTATTTAAAGTACGTTGCCTTTGTTTGTCATTTCACTTGCTTACAATCATAAGTTAATTTTCATTCCAGTTAATGTCCTTTCCTTGCCTACACAAGTTTTAGTACATTACCATAACTTCATTGCAATGAATCACTATAATGCAATACCAAATCACATGGGTCATAAATAGCATTGGATTACCATCAAGATAATTTTACATAAACATTACATTCCGAAATCAGCAATTAACCAACTGGTTCTTACATCAAACCAAAATAACAAACTTACAACATCCTTACAACAACTACTTTTACCGCAATGTCTTAACCCTACCAAAATACAAAAAATTACAACTGCCTTAACATAGGGGAATGCATTAAAATACAATGCCAATTATAAGAAGTACTCCAATAATCACCAACATCACCAAAACAAACTTCAGCAACATGATCACCTGAAGTACACCATTGGCAACAATTTCATTATAGGGTTCCCTTTCATTAGCATAAAACTCCAAATCGTCTGTGTCAAGCCACTTGAAATATTTTCACCCTTTTTTGGTACCCTGCCAACAAAATCTTCATTTAATAACTTTTGAAAGATTACAGAATGGGAAAACAAAATGCATTAATTTTACCTTATAGTTAGGGCATGCCTTGAACTTTCTTCCTGGGTTTTTATCGGTTCTTGAAACCGAGTATTGCAGTTGATCACCACAATCACACTTGGTGCGATAAACTGGTTTGATGATAGAAGATGTTGAAGACGAAGCCATGGAGAAGAATACGGATGATGTGTGAGGAAGAACAACGAACCAAGAGTAAATGAGAGGTTTTTGGGAAAATAAGATTTTGGGTATGTAAAGAGTTAGGGTTACCTGCTAAACCGATGACACCTGCTAGCATTGACTTTTCATACACATTCAACACAATTAATGGCAAATAAGTAACAAAAAAAACATTGGGGTTAAATCAAAACGAAGATGTATAAATAATGGTTTTTAAGGTATTAACCCTTAATTTTTTTTTACAAATTTAAGTATAAGCTCTCAAAATAGAAAGCAAACACATTTTTCTTTGGTGGGAGATTTACGTTTTAAGTAGTCTCTCTTTTCTATTATTCAAACCTCCGAAGGTGGTCATTGATATTTTATAAAAAGTTAGACAAAGCTTCCGTTGTGGAGATAAAAATAATAATAAGAAAATTCATTGGATTGCATGGAGTACCTTGGTTCGGCCTAAAAACAAGTGAGGTATCGGTATATGTTGTCTTAGAAGCATGAATATTGCCCTTCCCGCCTAATGATTGTGGCGTTTAAAGTGTGAAACTAAAAGCTTATGGTCATTGTGTGTTTACTTTCCATCGTATTTCTGGCATTGACGGTAAACCTCTACAAAATGCAAGCTTCTAGGTACGTGGCTTTCTATTTCTAAAATAAGTGAGGTGCTTAATAAGTGGAGTATCTTTGTGAATAGCTTGTTTGAAAGAAGAACTAGGGGAGGAAATAACACCAGTTTTTGGAAAGATATATGGCTCGGTGACATGGCTCTTAATGTAACACCCGTTCTCCAGAATAGATCGGTTGAGGGCTTAGAATGATCAAATGTAAGTTTTTTAGGAGATAAACATTATGTCACGACGCGGTGAATGGAGCACCACGACGTGGCATACCAAATGCATAAAACGTGTATCTGAATGGCCTCTACGACATGGCAAGAAGAAGGCCACGACGTGACAGTGGATGCAACCCAAGCCCATGATTTTTAGGGGTTTCTCCATATTTAAGCACCTAATCTCAAGGATTAGGGTATCCTCTTTATCCTCCAATCCCTCATCAACGAAACCCTAGCCTCCATGAAGATTTGAAAGCTTGTTCTTTTGATTTGAAGCTTATTCCTTGGATTTTCGTGAAGCTTGAGAATAAGGAAGTTCACAAGGAAGCAAGGATTTGGTTTAGATCCATCATTCTCTTCAGTTTTCTAAGCTGTTTGGGGTATAAAGTTCCCACCTTGACACCTTTTCTTCTAGATTCAAGTTTGAGGTCATTTTTGGGTGATTTTGGTTCTTTCCATGAATGCTCTTGGAGTTGGATGAATTCCAGAGCTTGCTATGGCTCTCTAATGGTATATAAGTTCTATTGAGTGAGAAAAAGGTCTTAGTTTGGATGACTCTTAGTCCCATGCACAAGTTTTGGCCCCATTAAGGACTTAATGGACTTAGGGTTGCAGATCTAGCCTCAAAATGGAGTCCTAATGGATAAAGATGGAAACCTTATGTAACGTCCCAAAATGTAACACTCCAATCCAGGTATTACATTTTATCCCTTGAAGTATTTCTTTTTGGCAAATGAGGACCTTCCTTACGTTGGGTGTACATATGTGTACGCTTGGCGTACGCTTGATCATGTATCGCGGAGCTAAGGCTCATACGCGGGGCGTACGAGCATGTACGCAGGGCGTACAAGGCCAGAGATCAAAAACCCTAATTTCATGAATTGCACCCTATTTAAAAAACCTTATATTGTTTGGACCAAACCCTAATCAGCCTCCATATCCTCATTTCGTCCTCAAACCCTATATTTTCAAGAAAGTGTGAGATTTGAGCTTAAAGGTGTGTTTGGTGGCATTTCTAGAGGGTGTATAATAAGAAGAAGGTGGTGTTCAAGTCTTGATCAAGGAAGGAGCCTTTGGATCCTGCATCTAGAGCATCTTGGAGAGCTTTTGAAGGTAAAAAGCTTGCATCTTGTCTATTATCCTTGCTTGTTGAGTTAGGGTTGTATAGAGTCCACTTTTGGGTCCATAAATCATCTCTTGAGAGTTTGGGTAACTCCAGAGGTTAGGAAGGTTAGATCTGAGACCTTTGGACTTGTTTATAGTATAAAAATGCAAACTTGATGTCTTCTATGGCTCCATGCATGAGTTAAGACCTTTGGAAAGGTCTTAATAAAGTAGATTGAGTTTTTGGGATCTTATTATAACGCCCGCAGATTCGGGCTAGTCAATTTAGAGACGATAAGTGTCAAAAAAATGACTTTTAGATAGAGGATTATTTAGAATAAATAATCTTAACTAAGTTGTATTATATGTCACAAGGTTTCCGTACATATAAAGAACGTCGAAATCCGAGTTATAACGAAGAAGTTATGACCTGTCGAAGTTTCGCGACAAAACCGGCATGACACCGGGAATCGTAAAAAGTGAGTTTATGATAGAATAATTTTTAGCCTTATGGTTCTAGATGAAATTTGTATAGTACGTGTCCACCTTCGCGTGGATATAAAGAACGTCAAAAACGGAGCTCGTATGCAAAAGTTATGGCCTTCCAAAGATGCAGCTGTTGAGAGCATGACACGTGGTTGAAACCCTAGCCGCCTCAAGTCACGACGTGAACATGAGATTCACGACGTGAAACGTGTCAGGGACACTAATCGGGGCTAGAAAACACGTGTTAAAGATACGGGGTGACTCATGGATGTTCACGACGTGGCCCAAGGTATGTCACGCGTGAAATGGCCCAGAACAGCCTATAAATAGCGATCAAAGCTCATTCATTCCTTACACCTTTTCCTTTCATTCTCTCTCGTTTCCGAAGGCCTTTTCCCTTCCCGAGCCTGACAACGACGAGCCTCTGACCGTTTAGATTCTATAGATCACGCTACTAAGGTGAGTGCATATTATTTTCATCTTACACATAGATATGAAGTATTTTATATAAAATTACGTGCTATGTGTGCATATTATCTGAATACTTGTTGTCTATGCTGGATGATCGATTTTATATACGTTTTAAATGATTTAAACTATATATGTATTTTGTATCTACAAATATGTTGGGGTAAAACATGGGTAGATAAAATAGTTGTTGTGTGATGAAAGATGAGTTGGAAGGTGAGATGAAAGGTGATATAGATCATGAGATGATGGTGAGAGGTGAGAAGTGAGAAAATCCTTTACCCAAACGTTGGCCCCATCATCTAGCAGAGTATGGATGACAACCATGGACTATTCTAGACGGTCTGTGGAACACTAGCAGGCTCGCAACCTGTAGGTGTTGTGAACGACGTGTTCACCCGGTGTACTCTAAAAACCCATTGACATGTATTTCGGGTGGATTGCCGAAAATAATAATGTCGATAAATGAGCTATGGACTTAGCACCCGTTGTATAAACCCTGGCAACTATGGACTTAGTGCCTGTTGTATAAACCTTGGCGACGATGTGACTTCGTGCCTATTAGATAAACCCTGGCAGCTATGGACTTAGTGTCTGTTGTATAAACTGTGGCGACGATGTGATTTCGTGCCTATTAGATAAACCCTGGAAGCTATGGACTTAGTGCATGTTGTATAAACCTTGGCGACGATGTGACTTCGTGCCTATTAGATAAACCCTGGCGACGATGTGACTTCATGCCTATTCCTTAGGATGAATCCTTAGGAATGAGTGATAGATAATTCTTAGAGTAAATCCTTAAGAGATAAAGAAGATAATGGGGATGGGTAATTGGGTTGATTGTTTGATGTTTAAACATAATAATTATATTATTGTGGGTTGAAAACCCTATGTGCTCACCAGGTTTCCCAACCTGACCCACTCAGTCTATTTGTATCACAGGTATCGATACGAAG